CATAAACTGAGTTGGGTAGAGTAGCCATTGTTGCGATACGTAGGTACATTTTCTTTGCACTAGTCGGGAGATCTTTAGTCTACAGTTAATATTATACTCGTTGAAACTGTGCTGATTTTATAGAAACCTTGAAACCCACTTGAACACAGTGAACAATGCTAAGTGTGCCGGCCCTGACCATGAGCAGAGTTGACAGAGAGTTCATTACACCAATATCGGTGAGGTAGGTGTCAACTTTCCACAGGAAGTTGAGTCGAAGTGAGGGTTTTTTTTTTAGATTAATTACCTCATTCAAAAATTTTTGTCAAATTTTGTGCATGATCAAATTGAAAAAGGTGTTGGCTTGGATGATAGGGTGATAAAAACGTTACTGCAGTCTGATCAGTTTTGACAATCTGCATGTTTGACGATCTGCATGCTTTTGTATGTATTGTGGTTCACTGCTTCTAGGTTTCTAAAAGGCAGCAGAAACATGTATAGTGCACATGGACTGAAAGTCTGCTTCAAGTTATGTTGTTTTTTACATCCTACGAAAATCAGTGACTAATTTAGATTCTAGTAAAGAAACGAGCTACACATTTGAGCAGGTATTGATACAAAAAAAAAATCACATTCACAGGACAGAAATGAACCTTTAGAATAATTTTGAGCTGTATCAGAACAAGTATAATAGAACTATAGACTAGTATATGCACATGGACCACTGAGGGATTACAGAGATATAAGCCCACATGGGAATATAAAAGAAAGTACTGTTATTTAATGGTGAAAAGCATTAACCAGGCCGGTGCCACCTAGTGCCACCACTCAGTTTCATTTCTTTCCAGTGACTAGATCAGGAATTGGAATACACTAGACTGTTTGTAAGAACCCCAGAAGTTGTAGATTGTGCACTGGCCAATCAGTGAAGATCTGTGAAGCTTGAGTCAAACTCAAGCGTCTGTCTGGGTCCCTTTTGTGGTACAGCACAACAGTAAACAAAGTGACTGAGATGGATGTAGAAGAAGACATATATTATGTGTTGGCAACGATTCCTGAGATCAAGGATTTAAAGCCGGAACAAAGAGAATGTTTGGTGAATTTTATCAAGGGGAAAGATGTTATTGCCCTTCTTCCTACGGGATTTGGTGCATTACATACATCATGATCAAATAGCAGCGATTGTTTAAATAAAAAAAGTACCCGTCTATCGTCGAGCGAATGAATTCTAATGTGGCGAGGTCAGACGGTTTCCACGAAGTGAAACCGTTGGATGAATCAGGCTAGAAAATCACATTCTATTGACTAAATAATTACTGTTTTTGTTTGTATTATCAAGTCTATTCCTTAGTATTGAAATTTCAGTATCGTGACAACACTAATGCATATCTGATTATTTGGTTGATTGTTTACAAATGCAATATAAAGATCCATACAGACTCGAACTATTGCATCAGAGCATGTGTTACTCAGACACATTCCCTCAAGTCTTTTCCTTATTTTCTATTAAAATCCTGCTGTTACGTGATTCCCGGAGTCTGTCCTCAAATCCATGACACAAAAGCGTGTGCGTGTCCCTTTAAGAGCGCCTTGTATCAGTTGATTTCCTCCATGTTGAACCTAATCACCGGATCTGCCGAGAGCAGTGCTCCCGCAGCATGTGACTCTTTATCAGGCCTCGTCCGGCTCTGGTTGGGGGCGACTTCAGAGCTTCTCCCCAAACGCACAGCTCTGTCCTGGGCCCAGCGCACAGTCATGTGCTGGGACCGTCCTGGAGAGAGGGAGGAGGAGGAGGAGGGGCAAAAGAAAGTCAAAAAGAGGAAACTGGAAACAGGGATGAATATGGGAGCCGATCTTAGTGACAAAATGAATATGTCGAGTGTTTAGCACAGGTTTATACTAAGACTATCCATGAGCAGAGGTGTAGAGTAACCAAAAATTTTACTCAAGTAAGACTAATATTACATGAAAGCAGAGAAATGACTCGAGTACAAAAGGACAAAACAAAAAAAATGCACAAAAAAATCCGGTATTTTCAAAGGATGGACACAGAATTAGACAAACTAAATCATATCTGAAGGAGCGCTGCAAGAAACACAAATGTTCAAATCATTTCATATTGTCACATAAAGCTTTTCTCACTTGTAGATTTTCTCACAGTTACTCAAGTAAGAGTCCTTTTACTTCAATAACAATATTACTGTAGTAGGACTGAAGTATGGTTACAATAATCTTTCTTTTGAGTGCTGATGAGTCCTTAAAATGTTGCAGGAACTTTGCAGGAACCACATTTATTACCATTTTTGGATGTATAAATATATTCCACTTACACTGATCAAAAACACAGTTACGGATTAAATACTTACACTAATAAATATTTACAGTACTGCAAGCATAAAGTCTCAATTGTATTATTTGTGTTCAGCTTGTTTTAAGACTACGGGGGCAAACTTAATAACTTAATTTGTATTTGTAAGACTTGTGTTGACAAATATTTTACTTTTCTGGTGTTCTTATAGTCATGTTTGAAGGAAGAGGCAGCAGTTGAATGAAATTAATCTATGAATTTGAGCTGCGAACACATTTTTATGAAAGTAGAATAGAAAAGATGTTGTGGTTTTTCCCATTTGCTCAGTGCTGCTCCAGTGATCCTTTCAAGTCTATTTTTAGCTCCATACGGGGGGCTGGGACTGTCTCAAAGTCATTGATAAGAGTCTTCACCAAGACCAATCTGTCCCAATGCAGGAAGTTGGTCTGCAGTGAATCTAAACCAGGACTAAACCAAGACTAAACCGGAACTAAACCGGAACTAAACCAGGACTAAACCAGGACTAAACCGGAACTAAACCAGGACTAAACCAGGACTAAACCAGGGCTAAACCAGGACTAAACTAGGACTAAACCAGGAGTGAACCTGTGCTCAACCAGGACTAAACCAGGATTAAATCAGGATTAAACCAGGACTAAACCAGGCTAAACCAGGACTAAAAGGGCTAAACCAGGACTAAACAGGACTAAACCAGGACTAAACCAGGATTAAATCAGGATTAAACCAGGACTAAACCAGGGCTAAACCACAACTAAACCAGGACTAACCCAGGGCTGAACCAGGAGTGAACCTGTGCTAAACCAGGACTAAACCAGCATTAAGACAAGACTAAAGCAGGATTAAATCAGGGCTAAACCAGGACTGAACCAGAAGTAAACCTGTGCTAAACTAGGACTAAACCAGAGCTAACCCAAGACTGAAACAGGACTAAACCAGAACTAAACCAGGACCAAACCGGAGGACTAAACAAGGTGTAAAACCACGAATAAACTGGTAATAAATCAAAACTAAACCAGAGTTAAACCAAAGCTAAATCAGAACTACACCAGGACTACACCAGGGCTAAACCAGGGCTAAACCAGGGCTAAACCAGAACTAACCAGGACTAAACCGAGAATAAACCGAGACTAAACTGGGATTAAAACAGGGCTAAACCAAGAATAAACCAGAACAAAACCAGGGCTAAACCAGGAGTGAACCTGTGCTAAACCAGGATTAAACCAGTACTAAATCAGGACTAAACCAGGGCTAAACCAGGCTTAAACCAGGAGTGAACCTGAAGTGAACCTGTGCTAAACCAGGGCTAAACCAGGGTTACACCAGGACTAAATCAGGGCTAAACCAGGACTACACCAGGGCTACACCAGGACAAAATCTGACCTTGAACATCAATAGTGGTGACTCAGTTTGACATGAATTAAAGGTCCACTAGCTCTAGACATTAGTGTTATTATTCAGTTTTCACAAAAATAACAACTCTGAGCTAATTTTCACCTGAACCATCTGCTCTTGTCGCTCTTCCTTTAAAGTTTATATAACAATTCAAAACACTCTTACCTATTTATTTTGAATCACTTGTTTGTTTGCCATGGCTGTAGTTTTTGTAGTTGATTAATCGGTTGTAAATGTTGTATTGTCGTCTAATCAGCTTAGTTCGATTATAAGGATTCATATGAGACAACAGCAGTAAAACAATATACTACAACTTCACAAACGCGATGTGCGGTACTTTCATCAGCGAAATTCACGTGGATTGTGTTGTGATAGCGCTCTGAAGGGGGAGTGACTTAGTGCGAAGAGCAAAGAGAGGCAGGACTCAGAACTTCAAAAATAAAGCTTATTACCTCCGCCAAGGAGGTTTTGTTTTTGCCAGCGTTTGTCTGTTTGTCTGTTTGTTTGTTTGTTTGTTTGTCTTTTAGCAACATAACTCAAAAAGTTATGGACCGATTTTGATGAAATTTTCAGGATTTGTTGGAAATGTGAAAAGGAAGAACTGATTTCATTTTGGGGTTGATCCGGAAGAAATCCTGGATTCTGGATCACTTTGAAATTTTAGTTAACATTGTGGTAAATGGGGCCAAAAATCTTGTTTCTCAATATCTCGGTTAATTATTGACCAAACCCCATGAAATTTGACTCAGGGATGGACAATGGGATCCTCTTTCATATTCCAAAGGCTGATCCGGATCTGATCCAGAAGACTGATTTTATCGCAATTTATATAAAAAATGGGGGTAGTCCTTGGCAGAGGTCTGCGCTCTCTGAGTGCTTTTCTAGTTAAAAATGTTAATATGTTATTTTTGGGCGAATATAGCATTTGCATAACAACAAATGGTAACATGGTGATCTAAATATGTGTTTAATATGCCATAAAAATTTAATACTCCCTTGTAAAATATCATCTATAAGGTCTACTTACTTTTTATTTGTAATTGTTGTTTATTTGGGCCATCATGCAGTTAGATTTGCTAGTGTGTGACTATAATTTTTGAGAGGGACTTGAAGCTTGTGTAGAAATAAAGATCAGATTAAAGTCTTAACAAAGCAGTGCCTGCAGTTGATGACGTCCGCCACAAAGTATCGGCTGTTTTATCGGGCAAATTCTGCTTTAACTCTGTCTATTTTGCATTTATTTAATTCATTGTTTCACTCACCCGCTCTTGCCTAATGTACTTTTTTTGGTTTTGTCCAGGAGTTCTTTGACCACGCAAAGAAGTTATGGGATGATGAAGGAGTCAAGGCCTGTTTCGAGAGGTCAAACGAGTACCAGCTCATCGACTGTGCACAATAGTAAGTGTATACATCCCCTCTTTTTCTCTCTCTTCCCCCTGTCTCTCTGGATCTTTCTGCTGCTCTGTGCTGCTAGGATTCTCATAATAATCACCATTTAGTATCCACTCAATAGGGAGCGATCATTGTTTTTCTGGACTGGCGTTCGTTTTGGTTAACTTCTAGTAAACAGAAGCACATGAAACTTAAGCAAACTATAGACATTTTGTTTAAAGGGCCTATATTGCGCTGTTTTCTGATCTGTTTTATAACGCTGTTTCCTCGTCACAAACATATCTGGAGTTTTGTTTCATTCTCACAGTTTTAACACACAATTCCTGCATATTTAGGCTTTTAGGAGATCTTCTCTCACACTGAAAACACTCTGTTCCACCTTGTGATGTCACGTTGTAATAAAAGAAGTGCCCCGCTGTGTTTTTAAACTCCATACACCTTCACTAGAATCACTTGGATTAGGGCTGAAAATTGCTATAGTTTTGGACCGAAAATCACGATCTCAGACAACATGATTTTAGGAGTGTCAAAGCCGCGTTTTTTTCCAGTGCTCCTATAGCCCAGTTTAAAAACAAAGTTTAGTTCTGCGACTCAACGAACACTGCTGCCGTCGCCTTGTCGTCGTCATTTTTGATTTATGGGTCTGCGTCCAGGTCTGTACCGCAAAGTAATTCAATGCCACAATACTAAGAGGCGAGGATTTAAACCTGGCATTCGTGTAAAGTTTAACATGAAGCATCTCCAACGCGACAGAAGCGCAGAACAGACTCACCATCATCAGCACATCCTCTGTCACAGAAACAACTCACATATTCCATTGGGTCGTGTCCTTTAGTCCGACAGAAGCTGAACCACATCAGGGCACAAATAGCAAGTGTTTTTTTTCAGTGCTTATAGTTTATGCAAATTAGCCATGCGGTTTTAAGTTTCATTTCTGTAAAACGTAAACAAATGTGCGCAAAGCTGCATTAAACACAGAATTACTCAGTGTATATTGAAAGAAAGGACAGCGGAGAACAGGAAATTTGTGTAGAGCGGTGGTAGAGACGACCAATCACAGCTCTTATTGACTGCGTAAATTGGGCTTTACAGTCCAGCGTTAAATCATTGGTGCAAGACTCTGGTATGATGTAAGTTTCTGTGATGTTTGCAAATGTTCAAGTGCAGTGAAACTTGATTTGAAGAAAATTGTGGATAAAATTCACATCGCAATATCTGCCAGAAAAATTGCAATTACATTTTTTTCTTAAAACTGTTCAGCTCTAACTTGGATGTTTCCAGCCCCGCAATATCCACTGAACCAAACGTATAAAGTAACTAAAAAACGACCACTTCATGACATCACAAGGTGGAACAGAGTATTTTGAGTTTTGGAGATGTAGACAGTTTTAATGTTTTTGACGAGGTAACATTATAACTTGACATAAAGCTCACAAGAGTCAGTTTGTGCAATATAGGACCTTTAAATTGAACAATATAGTATTTATAGTTATATATTTCACAATCTGTACTTTTCTCACAGTCTTTTTTTTTTATTTTATGAGGTAAACCATTACATATGTACACACAAGTCATAACGCACTGAACTTGAACTGGAGCTGGCTGTATTGGTGTCATAAAATAGCCTTAACTAATATCATTTATTGCAATAGCCTCGGCCACCTCTCGTATATGGTCTTTGTGAAGTACTCGCAGTCCCTTCCGCTGTCCCCTGGTCTTAAGTCCACAGTGCTGCGCTTCACTTTTACAGCCTGTAAACTGTGGTCCCTCTGTGCCTCTGCCCTGTCCTGTCCTATATGCATACACTCAGACTGTTTACTTTGGGCGTGGCGGCGAGTCAAAGAGTCCAGCGCAAAATTATGTTATATTTCTCTCGATATCTCGGTTGGTTTGTCTTTCTTTTTCGCGATGACGGGATTTGGTTGAAATGGAAACGAGTAGCGAGTCTGATTGTTGTTGGTGAGATGGTAAATGTGATGTAAATGCTGTCTGGAGTTGGTAAAAGTATCGTAAATCTGATGTTAATCGATGCTAGAATGGGTATCGGAAGCTAGATACTAATTTGAGCAGGTGTCAATACTAAAAAAGTCATTCACAGGACAGAAATGAATGTTCTTGAGCTGTATCAGAACAAGTATAAGAGCAGGATTCTCATAATAATCATCATTTAGTATTTAGTTTTCTGGACTGGTGTTCATTTTGGTTAACTTGTAGTAAACAGAAGCACATAAAACTTATCCGAACTATTTAAACATTTCATTTAAAGGGCCTATATTGCGCGGTTTTCTGATCTTTTTTATAATGTTGTTTGCTCGTCTCAAACATATCTGAAGTTTTGTTTCATTTACACATGTTTAACTCACAAATCCTGCATATTTAGGCTTTTAGGAGTTCTTCTCTCTCTCTGAAAACACTCTGTTCCACCTTGTGATGTCATGTTGTAATAGGAAGTGTCCCGCTGTGTTTTTAAACTCCATACACCTACACAATAGATCGTTCAGCCTTAATCCATGTCATTCTAGTCCTGGTTCACTCTGCATGTGGCACAAAAATCCGGCATCGCAGTTTAAGTCACGGAAACGGGAAACGGCCGTTATCCGTTTTTTCCATTATTCATTTAAACACAAAATCGAAAACTGAAAAAAACTAATCGTTATCTGTTTTTTCATTTTGGTTTTGGAGACAAATAATGAAGAAAATAGTTGTTTTTTCGTTTTCTTATATTTTGTTTTATATTGAAAAACGAATGAACGAATGATACACAGATTTAGTTGCTCCTGAAGCCTAATTTAAGAACGAAGTTTAGTTCTGCGTCGACTCAATGCACACTGTCGCCGTCGTTTTTGATTTATGGGTCTTCGTCCAGGTCTATATCTCGAAGTAATTCACCGCCACAGTGCTAGAAGGTGAGGATTTAAATACACATAGACTAGTATACGCCCATGGTAATATAAAACAAAGTACGTAATATAAAACAAAGTACTATGATTTAATTATAAAAATCACTTTATTCTGACACTGTGGTATCTGAATCGGTATTGAGTATGAAGTCTATTGTTCAGGATCGAAATCAAGAACTAAAGGAAACTTGTAAAATTGAGTTAAATCATGTTATAACTGTCTTCCCTCATTATTACTCACTCGAAGTTGTATTTCAGTTCACTTCATGTGTGAGTATAGTTCACATTTTGAGGCTTGAGTGCTAAAAAAAAAAGCAGTTTTCAAGTTTAATTTAAAGGTGCACTGTGTATCTTCATGGTTGGGTGTCTGTTTTTTCTCTAGATATGTCATTGCTCTGCTCGGAAAGTTCCACAGTGTGACATTAAACAGTTCTACTTTACATTTATTCAATTACAAGTGGTTTTATAGCTCAAAAATACCTAGAAAAACAAACATTCTGACTGTGAGCGGGGTTGCCTCTCCGCAGATCTGACTTTTAACTTGGTCTGGTTTGGGTTCCATGAAGATAGAAAGGTTTAATTAATGCCATACTGTGAAATATTCCGGACAAATCCATAAAATCTCCATAGAGAAAAGCAGTGAAGTGTAGTTTTGAACAGGAAGTTAATGGAGTTTATTTCTATTTTTAAGGACTAAACAAGGAAAAACAAAAAAACAGGACTAAATCAGAACTAAACCAAGACCTTTGCTAGTCACGGTCTGGCGTTTGGCTTCTCTCTTTTCTACATATGCCTTTCTTTGTGACACAATAGAACCCAGATAGAGTTGTTTGGAAATATTGATAGTGCATTGTAGCAAGGCTCTTTCATTGGCGCCTCGTACTGTTTGGTAACCCAGGGCCTGGCTTGGTCCTCATGTAAAAACGCGTTCCCTGTTTCACCGTAAAAGGAAGTTTGAATATGCAAAGTTCAAATCCGTTATTACAATGACCTACCTGCTTCCCTCTTCATATGAAAATAAAGGGCTATGTATACTGCACAGTCACCAGAGATGATCTTTAACCAGCAACTTTTACTTTTATTGTGGATTTAAAATGTTATAATGTTGTTTTTACTCATGAAAAATGTACCTGAAGTAAAAATATTGTACAGATACTAGATCGTGGGCTGTCACAATATATCAAATTACAAGTTTATTTGCTTAAATGCATGGTTTTATAGTAGCAACAGCTTATAAACACAGGGAACTACATTTCCCATGATTCATTTCAGCGCAGAAAACGTGAAGAAATATGTTTTTTACTTGAATTCTTGGGATTACGATGGAAATAATTCACACCCAAATCTTGTCAACGTATTTTAAACGTGTCCTATCTACAATAACTAATAAAAGTAAAAGTATTTCAAGCAGATTTTGAGGTTTAATAAAGCTTCAAATTTGATAAAGATTAACGCTGAATTGTGTTTACTCAAATTACAGATGTGTTTAAAAAAAAAAAATCCAAAAAAGCTCAGGTCTCAAACTATAATAAAAAATACTTTTACTTTTCAGTCTAGTTCAAAAATGTAGTGGAGAAGAAAGTACAGATACTAGACTCTCTCAAATGTAGTAGAGCATGCATGTCCAAACTTTTTTTTGGCTCTCAGGCTTCAAATGACCAAAAGTAGTTCTTTTGACTGCTAATTTAGGTCTGCTAACCTAACTTAACTTATTTTGACGTGGTACAGACTTAACATAACTTAACTAAACTTAACTCAAGCCTTATTAAAGCTGTGGTTGCTAAAACAAATCAGAAAAATCCATTACTGTCTGTGAGCCTAAATTTCAATTTGTGACCCTCAGTAAAAAAAAGTTTGGACAACTCTATAGTAGAGTAAAAGTAAAAAGTATCCACTCTAAAATGTTATTAAGTAAAGTACAGACACCTAAAATGTATACTTTATATGAAAATACAGTGCTATTATTACTTTCCATCACTGGTTTTAATAATACGATTCTGGTCGAAGTTCACATTTTACGCATCTAGAAGAATTCACAAAAAGACTGAACTGACGGGGAGGGCATCTGACACTTTCGGAGCATGTTTGTGCAGATCTAAACTATGG